TTTCAAAAAGCGCTATTCCGAACATTATAATAGCTATACAAAAATCAAAAATAATTCTACTTACCTTAATCATATTTTAGCTGAAAATCATTCTTTTACCGACAACTTTGAAATTGTACATATAGAAAATAAGGGCAATCAACTAAACCATTTAGAATCACTTGAAATAAATAGATTTAAAAATTCAGATAACCTACTCAATGATCAATTAGATATTAATAACTCACCCTTATTAAATCTCTTTCCTAGTTTTGTGAAAGTCTACCAAATTTGGTTTTACTCATTCAAGATAAATTAAGTACATATAAAATATTTTTCCGAAGTTCCTATTACTTTCGTATTAATGAGAATTGATTTTTAAAATATTTAAAAGACTAAATTTGAGTCCTAAATAATTATTTTCAATTCTTGAGTAATTTGGATCATGAATTTTTGGTAAATTACTAAGTGTTTCTTTTTTCTTTTCTTCAAGATCGTGATGAATTTTCTACAACATCAATGGTATTACCAAATACAAGGCCAGTTACATATTACTGGCCGGAAAGGATGTATCTTTGGTGTTTGGACAGACCATAAATATCCACTCAAAGTAGAATACATACTAAAGAGACATGATTTCTGGCAAAACAAAATGGAACAAAAATTAAAAAGTTTTTTTATGAATGTATATTACCAGAACTGGTAGATCCAAGACACGTAAGAGAGATGCCATTAAGGGAACCAGCTTATATTTTAGAAGCAATCAAAAATAAAAAACAAAACAAAAAGGAATAAGTTTGATAGATTTGTTATTTCTTATTAAAATTTGATAAAGATTTCTTCATTTTTTTTAAATAAACATTCATGAAGTACCCTTTAGCTTTTTATTAAAAACGTTTACATGATGGTTCCATCGTTTTAAAAAAAAGTTAATAAAATATATTTATTTTTGTGACTTCTAGAATTAAAAGAATTTGCTCGAAATTCACACATTTCGATTGTAATAGTAAACAGTGCAACAGCTCTTAACTAATTAACAATATTTCCTTTTAACAAACTGTGTAGGTATTTTATAATATAATATTTTAGGTATTTTATAATTATTATTTTTACCTAAACGAATGTAAAGAACCATTAATGGCATTGTTAATGATGGGTGAGTCCAGCACTGAAATACGCCAAACAAGTCTCGGGTAGTACTTTGCAATAGTCGATTGAGAACGAGTCACGCCGAGCGATGCGTCGATGAAAATCCAATCGTAGAGAGAAGGGAGTCAAAATATTTAGTTTTATAGGTATTTCTAGGAATAACAACTTTCCGTATTTATATGATTACATCTTTATTTCAAATCCAATTTTAATTATTATTTTTTTATTCTCTTGAGAAAAAATGAAACTACATTTACATCGTTGTATTTGAAAAACAATGTATTTTTAATATAATAATTTCTCTAGTAAAGTTAGCTTCTTTTTAACAATTTTATTGAACTTATAGATTTTTTTCTGGTTGAACCGTTTATATTTTAATCAAAAGAGTCTGTAGGATTATAGTACAAGCCTTTATCTTTTTGCAAAAAAATATTAATAAAATATATTCATTATTGTGCCGTCTAGAATAAAAACCAAATACTCGAAATTCACACATTTTGATTGCATTTGTGAGCAGTGCAATAGCTCTTAATGCAAAAATATAATGAAGTAAAATCAAATAAAGATATAAATTGGCAAAATATTTGACTAGTTTCAAATCACAAAACAGTCAATATGGTTGTTTTATAATTTGAAACTTGTCAAATATGTTTCCAATTTTTTTGCTTTATTTGATTTTCTTCATTACATTTTTGCGCTACTACAAACTTAAATTTCAAAAAGCCCGCTCGCGGCGGCCATATTGAATTTTAGTACCACTCCAATTTGATAGATTGCAGCACATCGACTCAGCATTTTACCATTGAGTTTCCCATCTATCCCAATGAACTGGAGTGGGGTAGAATGCTTGTCAATAAGCTTCACATGCGACTCTATGGGCAAAGACAGGTTATTTTTCATCTCACTCGGGAGTATTTATAACAACCATTTTCTATTTCACTTTGTTATTGTCTGATCCACCAGCATGTGGATTGAACAATAACAAAGTGAAACAGAAAATGGTTATTATAAATACTCCTGAGTGAGATGAGAAATAAAAATGGCTGCGCCCATAGAGTCGCATATTGTTCTATTGATACAATATGCACATTGGCTTTCTACCCCACTCCAGTTCATTGATCTATCCACATTAGTAATCTATGGGTATCGGTAACTGGTATAGCCCGAACTGAAACTATGTTTTAGTTTCAAAGAACGAATTCTAGATGGCGCTGTACACACAATTTACAGAAATCTACAATTGATGGTGGAAAGAGTGGGAGTGTCATTTGTCATTGTCAGGCATTCATTACCTCCTGGTAAATGACGAATGACATTTGCCATTACCTGTATTTATTGTGATTATCAGTAATATCATATTGGCAATAATTATTATTTGTTTGGATTTGGGTGTGCTCTGGATCCTGGATGAATAAATAGTAAGTATTTTGTAAATTATTGTTTATTGTGTTTTTAATGTTCAATTTGTTTATTTGATCTTGCTAACGATTGTTAGTTTATTTTAAATTTTTGTGGTCATTTTTAGTTATAAAAGCTGTAATATGTCGTATTGTTGTATGCCAAATTGTGTTGTAAACACTCTGAAATCCTAATAACGATTTATTTCAAATTTGAGTATTGGCTGTTCGCAGTCCGTTTTTTCAAGAATAAAACAAGAAATTTGTAAAAACTATTTAGTATGTGATAAACATTTTGAAGATATGTTTAAAGTTCCTGGTACACGCAGAGATCTAACTGTATTTTTATTTGTTCTAGTATAAATTTTTTCAAGCCGTTTGAAGTGGCAGTATTGCATCGTTGAAGACAAAAACAGCCTAGTCAGGGAAGTAATAGTCACTGTACTTTTTATATTCATGCCGCACATTTTATTTTTATATTGATTTAGTTCAGATTGTTACTTTTACTGTTTTTTATTTGTTGTAGTCACTGATCTGTATTATTTTACTGGATAGGATATAGCCCCTTAAAAAACGTTCCGAAAAATTGGCCGATTTGGGCAAATAATATGGCGGACCGGATATTATTTAACGTAACCTCTATTTCCATTTGTCATCACATTTGTCATTTAATTGTGTCAACAAGCTACGAGGAGATGTTTTTATTGTGGAAAACAAAGTAAAAAGAGTATGAAATAAACAATAAACGTTCATTCCTGAAGACACAATATGCTTCACGTTTCCATTTTTATATTTTCTTTCATTTAAAATCAAATCATGGGTGAAATTTCCCGAAGGACATCGCCCGCAAAAGGAATAGAAGAAGAATAAGAAGAAAAACTAATCAAATTATAGGTTAGGTATGTCAAATTATCCCAAATTTCAGTTCTGTGAACCCACCATAATTTGCCCAAATCTGCCAGCATTGTTGCACTTCCGGTCTCCTTGGTGGAACGATTTTTTAGTATGTTAAATATAGCCTATATCCTGTCCAGTAAAATAATACAGATCAGTGGTTGTAGTACAAACTTTCTTCAAGCCGTTTGGAATGGCAATATTGGATTGTGGAAGACAAAATAGCCTAGTCCGGGAAGAAATGGTCAGCATACCTTTTTTTTATTCATGCCTCACTTTCTGTGCTCCCTACCAGATTTGAAGGGTTCAGGTAAAAAAGAGGCCAAGTCACAATTACCAAAATGTTCAGAAAACTAAATTTAATTTAGACTGACTAAATACAAACTTTTGATACTTTAAGGTAATTCATTACAAAAAGATGTTACTTTGTTTAAATGTTGCCTGATTATATTGTAGTTTACCACTTAATTTACCAGACAGTTGTAATTTTGTATTCTACTGAAAGTGCCAAACAAATGCCGCGTTTGAGAATCCACATCGGATGCATCCGAGATGTAGTAAATCTTTGATCACGTGATTCAGTATACGCAAATGTAATGGGACAGATGTGTCCGATGTGGATAAGAAAACGCTCGAGATGTAAAAAATGCATCCAATGTGGATTCTCAAACGCGGCAAAACAGTAGGAAAAGATGCTAAGTCCTTGGACATAATTTTAAATGCACTGTTTTGCATTTGCTAATTTGGCTTATTACATGGAAACATACTGGTATTTTACAAAATAGGGCGGACCAGTTCAATTTTGATAAAAATGTGGCTTAGTCGCTTTTTTCTTCCTGTACCCTTCTTGATTTATAAGTTTATTAATATTTATTTTTTGTTCTAGATAAAACTCTTCAACCTCTATGGACAATGAATTAACTTTCCAGCTATTTAACACGCTACATTTAATTATTCTATTTGTATGTTTTTTGTTTTAATAAATTAATTTTGTTGATCATGCTTTTTAATTTTTTGTACTAATAAATAAAATATTTCAGCTTGTAGTCAAGTTAGGATTGGTTCATACTACTCATTTTTTGCTTTATTGTAACAAATATAATTTTATTGTTATGAGCAAATCTTAATTTGACTACCACTTTTAAACTAAATATTGAATGACAATTTTGAATGTTCCCGCTGTGTTAACTAGTGACCGCGAGATGGCGCCACTTCCGTCCAAATGGTTCAAAGAACGCTCACCCGGGGCTACAAGACTGTCTGGAATTTTAACATTGCAGTTTCCATTCTAAAAGTAAGTGATCTGTGCCTACTTGGGCGTTTTATTTACATCTTTTACTCTCGACTGGTACTTATTACATTTTTCGAGAACAAAAATTGCCGTAACTATCGATAAAAATTTAATGAAATCATTTTTAATTATTAAAAATAGCCTGAACTAGGTATGGAACGCCATCCATGGCACGTTGTGTTTATTTATACATTGTATTGTGTACAATTTTATTTAATTAGGAAAAAGGATACGGGGAGGTCGATTTGGAATGATAACTGATGAAATAATGAACAACAATTAACACTTACCAAAAAATCATCCGGTTGAATGCCGAACAGATCCCGGAAGTACCTGAAAGCTATGGGCGCGTAATTTTTGAACTTGAACTCCGAAAAGTGGTGGGCGGGCGTATGGTTCGAACCTTCGCTAGGGAAATTCGTCGTTTCCACTGTCATGAAATCCTGCATGAGCAAATCTCTTTCGGGCTTCGACGCCAACCCTCCGACTGCGTGTTGAATACCTGCAATTAATTTTAAAGTTACTAATCACCGAATATTTTCAATCATGTTTTTCTGGCATGTCTCCAAATCAATGACAAAGAAATAATATATGTCAAATGAAAGACCCTACCAAATGTATGTCCCTTAAAAATAATTGAGTCAGTTAAAATTAAAAAAAGAAAGACGGGTATTAGGCAAGTGTTTTGTTCCTACTTTAATATGTGACAAATGTGCAAGGTTGTTTCAGGGATTTAATCCGTTCCACTCAGAGTTTTCACTCGGAAAATCGCTTTCATCCTTTTCTATCTGTTACGATATTTATAAAATATAAAGATGAAAATATAAGACTACTGTCACAAGTACTTATCACTGTTATTTTATTACAAATAATACTAATGAAACATCCTAAAATTTCTTATAATTGAAGGGGTTAGAGCAAAAAGGATAAAAGTGACTTTTTTTCATTTTAGAGATAAGTACAGATTCATCTAGTTAAATGAAATTTCTGTCACAGCATAAAGGATATAAGTGCTTTTGACGATCAGTAACGCCACCTTTTGGTGAAATATAGAACCTTGTTAGCCATTTCTACAAATTGGTTGCTGCAAAAGGGGTATTAGTGCACTTGTACCGTTTTTGCAGTAAACGAAATTTATTAGTGCCTTGCATGCGTTGTAAATGTTCGCTTACGTTTTAGTAATATCAGTGTAGTTTTTAGATATTAATTAACTTTAGCTAATAAGCTAAGAATAAATAGTTATAGTTTACAACATCGAAGAAATGGCGAGTAATGAAGGTAAGACAAAAAATAATTAAAAACAGGTCATTTTGAGGTTATATTTTTTGTGTATTTTTTAGATGAATATCACTCAATCAGAACAAGACGACCCATATCATACCGACGATGATAAAGAATTTATTCCAAGTACTAGCTCATTATATGAAAACTCAGAACAATCAGAAACTGAAACTCAGCATGTTCAAAATATTCATGTTACACCTAAAAGAACAAGGAAAAGAAACATGCGATTCTGAATGGAAAAGAAATAAGAAGAAGAGGCTTAGAACTGAGAGAAAGCGTTACATATGATGACACAGGGAGTAGAGCACCGAGAAAGGCAGTTGCAAGTATACACATGCAGGTATAAATGCAACGAAAATATTTCTGAAGCCAATAGACGAGCATTATTTGAAATTTTTTATAAATTACCTAATTACGACTTACAGACTGCATATTTATCCTCATGTACAATCAAAGATGCAACAAAGAGGAAAAGATCTGATAAACCACGAAATTTCTCTACAAAAAATTTACTGCTAAACAAGCGTGTTTACTAGGCATTTTTTTTAAACTTTTGACATAAGCAATAGGCGCTTTACCATGGTGTGTAAAAAAACTGAAGATCTAGGTATTTGCCAGATTGATCAGCGGGGAAAACAGCCAAGTGTTAATAAAATCGACCAAGAGACTAGAGATTTTGTTATTCAACATATAAAACAGTTTCCAAGATATAGAAGCCACTATTCGCGAAAAGATAATAACAACAACACAAGATACTTATCCCCTGAACTTAATGTAACAAAACTCTACTCCTTATATAAAGAACGTTGTGTTAAAAACAATAAAGTCCCTGCCATGTTGTCGTACTACCGTAGAATTTTCAATAGGGTTTAATCTACGTTTATGACTCAAGAAATGTTTTACTCCTTTGAAAATTTAGACAACTTAATAAAAGATTTCAAAAAATACTCCAAAGGAAAACCATTGAAATTTAGGTCGCTTATTTTAAATATGGCAAAGATATGGAAACATTTTCATTTGAGTTTAAACATACTGTAGATAGTTCGTATCCATTTTCAAAATGTGCTTATGGACACGTTTCGTCGGACGTCCATCGTTTTCCTTAGAATCAACACTGCAGCAATCTAACAAATCCCCAGTGCCTATTAAACTTGAAAAATGGAATAATTTCCAGAGCCTTCTGGAGTACATTCGACCTATTTCATGGATTTTACAAAAATATGATCCATCAAAAATCTAAAGGGAAGGAAGCACAAAAGGCCAAAACAGCAACTACTAAAAATTCAGAACCAGGTCCCAGTAACTCTAACAATGGAGCAATGTAAATCGGATGGCGAAGAAGACTTGGATCATGACCTTGATTCGGATTATGAATCATAAGTTGTATTTCCTTTAATAAACATGCTTATATTAAAAAAGAATTAGTTTTATTTGGCCAAATTTAACAAAATTACTATTTTCGTTTGTGCAAAAGGGTATAAGTACATTACATTCAAAATTTTGGCTGAACTAATTTTTATTTTTAAACTTCACTTTATTCATAGGATTTTGCCTCATTTCTTTTAGCCACACACCTTAACACTAAGACTATTTATTTTTTATAGAATTTTCAAATAGCAATTAACTTTAACATTTAATTACTCAAAACTATATAATCTGCACTTATACCCTTTTTGCTCTAACTCGTTCAATTCAAATTTGTCTTACAAATTTCCCCAACTTAAATCAAATGTGACATGTGGCAAGTGATGCGTCACCAGTATATGTGTGACGTCACTAGAGTAACCTTAATACGGTGTAGTAAGGTTATAAAGGAATACCTTAAGTATTGCACCAGGAAAAACTCTTCTATCCTTTTCTTTCAGTTAAGAGACAAAGAGAGGAATTTCAGAACAGTTCAGACCATTCTCGTTCATTGTACTTGTACCAGTATACCAGTTCACCAGGTGTGAACATTCTGTGGATATAATCTGCCCAACGATATTTTTTTATGTTTTTATAACACCCTAGTACTGCCTTTAACCACATTCTTCCCACATTCAAGTCTTTGGGCACAATTGGTTACAAAACACTATTTCATCTTACAAGGCAATAGCAAGCAGTAAAAAAATATAGTGAGAGTCCATCATATTTTTGTATAACCCATAATTAGATTAGATTATTTTTAAATAAAGGGACTTCCAACGAAAACTATCCCCTCTAAATAATTTTAAAGCTGAGGCTTTTATGAAAAAATACAAAAATATAATTTTGGTTTTGAGATGTCTCCATAAAAGAAAATCTAGCGGGGTAAAATCTGGTGGCCTAAATGGCCACTCCATCATCGGGCCTCGTCTCCCTATCCAACGAGCAGTAAATGTTTGGAGTAGAGATAACAGGAAATGTAGCTATTCATTGATAAAATATAATATTCATGCCGCCAACATTAATTCGACAATCAATACGCTCCAGTTTGTAGGTCTGGAGTGAAGATACGTGTGGTGAGAGATAAGAGAGGGCATAAAGAGAAGAATTTTACGGCGATACAATTTTTTAAATCAATGAATATATGTGTAAGCAGGTGTAAGCGCGCGCTTATAATAAACAACGCAGAAATGCAAGCCGGCGTAAGCCCTGTTGCCACATCCAACTTAACATTAACTAGGTTTTGGAATTTATTGAAAATTATTGCATCTAATCTAGTGAAATTATATCTAATTTAGTTAAATTTGATATAACTAATAATTTAATTTTTTTGTGTTCAGTTGCAATACAAGAGGTTAAATTATTTGAGCTTTTAATATATAAATAATTTTGTAAACAAAACGAGAATAATGAAATATGCATGACACCAGCAGATATTATACTCTCCTGTGTCCCTTAGAATGTCTTATTCACTACAGCACGATATTTGTTAATAGTTACATCTCCCGTTATCTCTGGTTTGGACCATAACTGTTGTTATCTTGTTAAAACGCCAGAGAAAGCTTCAGAGATATTATTGTCTCTTTCTGGTATTCGGATTATTTCGTAATTAATAGCTTTTCTAAGTAATTGTAGATTTCAATCAAGAAAATATGGTCCAACAATATGATCACCTAGAATACCACACCAGTCGTTTAACTTTTGTGGTGTTCGAGTATGGAATTCCTGCATTATGTGTGGGTTATTTTCTGCCCAGCATCTACAATTATGTTTATTAACTAACTAATTAATTAATCAAAGCAGATATTGTAAAAAAAAAAATCTGGATTTTCAACAAGTCAAGACTCATTTTCACAAAACTGATAAACGTTACAAGTATACATGTGCGGAAAAATGTCCTTTACATGATAAAAGCCCCACCTTTAAAATTATTTAGGGTGGATAGTTTTCATTGACATTTTCTGTATATTTTTAAACACAACATCAAAGCAAAAAAAATACAAATTAAAAGAAGCACCTGACCTAAAAGGTTTTTTTATATTAGAATCTTTTTCGAATTATTACTATTTAATGATTATAATCTACTAGCCGTTACCCGGGTCTTCGCACGCGTGGAGTCCTGTTTTTAATATAAAAAATGCACGACTTTCCAAAAAAAAAGGCGGGATAATATGTTTTTTAGGGTTTATGATGTGTATGTGATAGTATTATAGATTAGAGTAAGTAGGGTAATCCAATATTTAAGTATAGTAATATAATTGAGAAACTCATGTTATACTACTACATTTCTGGTATGGCTCTCATTTGCTAATATCACCAGATTGCATACGGAACTGACTCTAAAAGGTCACATAAAACTGTCCTTGAGAAAAGCAGTCCTTCTATAGGCTGTCGGGACATCCAGAAGTATGGTTTTTATCAATTCACTTATTTGTTTTTAATTATTTGTACTATTCATTTGTATTTATTTTTATTTGTTTTACTTTTATTTATTTTTACTTATTTTTATTTGATTTATTTTTATTTATTTTTATTTAATTTATTTTTATTTATTTTTATTTATTTTTATTTCACCACTTTTCTCCCCCTTTAAAATGTGAAATCCAGAACCCTGAAACATGTCGTTATTTATTTATGTCGAGTAGCTTTAATTCCAATTTTGAAGTTCCTACCGTTAAAAAATCGATACTCCCATGCCTACAAACTTTCACCTCCTCCCCTTCACCACGTTTCCACCCTTTTAATAGTAAAAATTGAAAAATCCTGAAATACATCATTATTTACGAGTATTTGATACTCCATCAATTTTTCTCCCACCGTTTCCCCCCTTAAAATGTTCTTAGTGGGTGTCTATGTCGAAAAAGGAGTAACTATGCCAAATTTCAAGTCAATTGAGCTTATAGTTTTGGAGACCTGGTGATGAGACAGTGAGTGTTATTTATATACATAACGTTTAAAAACCATAACTAAAATCGGGAATTAATAAAAAAAATGAGAATTATTTATCGTCACATGAATATCTTGGCGTGTATTGCACTGCTCAACAATTGTACTGGATAATTCTAATTGCCTAGAAATTATAATTTAAAAATGTTAAAATAATCTCACTATCTATCAGGGGCGGTTTCTCCATTGGTTCATTTGTGCAGTGAACACCTAGTTAAATTTCATAAAAACAATATTTTAAAATCACATAAATAACATAAAAATATAAATTCAATTTTAATATTTTTATTATTTTCATACATGTTAATCTCTATTTTTTTTTGATACGCCACTGTGCTCTGACTCGCCGCGTCTGTCGGTTCACAATGCCGATTGAGCCAAAGAGTGATCAGTCGTTTCCGCAAATGTCTGTAGTTAAAAAGAGAGGCCAACATATCCTTGTAATCAGATGAAATAATGTGACTGCTTAAAACTGCTATTTTGTTCATCGTACATAAACAAGGCGTAACGTCACAAAATAGGGCGTGGCATACGAACCTTTCCAATCATTGAGATAGAACAAAACAGAGATGCTATGACCAATGAACTGGAGGGGGGTAGAATGCAAATGTACATGTTGTACTATTAGAACTAGGTACGACTCTATGGGCGCAGCCATTTTTATTGTTCATCTCACTCGGGACTATTTATGATAACCATTTTCTGTTTCACATTGTTATTGTTCAATCCACAAGCTGGTCGATCAGACAATAACAATGTGAAATAGAAAATGGTTATTTTAAATACTCCCGCGTGAGATGAAAAATAACCTATCTTTGCCGATAGAGTCGCACATCAAGTCTATTGACAAGCATTCTACCCCACTCCAGTTCATTGCTTCTATACAAGGGAAGTATCGTCATAGATACTAAAAGTGTCCGCATTTTTGCATTACACTTTTACGTCATATGTCAAACTCGAGCTAGCGGAGCAAATCAGTTTTGGTTTTGGTAAGACTAAATACCATTTTTAGCGTGATTTTTTTTAAATATAGAATATATCCATTTCTATTGTTTAACAGTACGTATGAGAGCGAAGGTACTTTAAAAATAATAAGCAAGAACAAACTTACCCAATTGTATCGACCCCATAATCTGTGTCGTCTGAATTTTCTTATATGTGATTTCTCCCCCCACACCGACCCGCCTATGGCCGATCTTCCTTTCTCGTTCATTTTTTGGTTTGTTGTCGTTGGGAAGATTTTTCTGGCTAATCTGAAAATTGTACAATTTATTTAGACACAATTAGAATAATGACTAATAATTTATTTTTTCACTGATATTATTTATGAATAAAAATGAATAATAAAGCATATTCTATAACCACATCCGCTCGAAATTCATTTATACCCGTTATTTCTATATATATATATATATATATATATATATATATATATATATATATATATATATATATCTTACTATAGATATAGAACGTCCGTACATTCTTAAATCGCATTCATTGGAGCGTCCAGGTATTTAGAGCGTCCGTATATAGACGCTCTAAGACGGTGCCCATTAAAAATTTTTCCAGAGGTCTATAATGACGTCAGAAACGTGATGGCAAAATTTTTGAGAGACGCCAAAATGATGAAAAAATGCATGAAAATAATACGGCTCGCGTATACTTTAGTTCAATACTATTGCTACCAGAGGCACTTGCAGCGCTGATGTATATAGAAAGTATACGATTTCCTTGATACCCATTCGATTCTAGAGCGTCCACTGACTTGGCATCGTTGCTTTGGAAGCTAATGTTGTAAAATAAATTAAAGTTGATTTAATAATCTTAGTTGGCCTGGTAGAAGTCTTAATATATTATAAAATTTCTCTCAAGAAGCCGTCCGTCCGTCCGTCATTTTTTGTGAGCGTTTAAAGGGGATTGAAAATTCAAAAAATCGTAAATCAAAAACGAAAAACAATATCAACTTGAAATTTTTAAAAAAAATCAAACTCTAAGTGGACAAAATGTGTTGATTATGAAAAAAATCTAATAAACAATGGGGGGTTTAAGGGGAGTTAAAACTTTAAAAAATCATAAGTCAAAACCGAAACATATCAACATGAAGTTTTTTAGAAAAATCAAGCTCTATAAGAAGACAAAGGCTATTAATTAAAATAAAACGAATAAAAATTGGAACTTTAAAGGGAGGGGGGGTGGATTTGAAAAAAATATAAATCAAAATTGAAAAACAATATCAACTTTTTTAGGAAAAGTCAAAGTCTATAAATCAAGCTCTATGAGGGGACACCGAATATTGATTATGAAAAAAAATCTGATTAAAAATGGGGGATATAAGGGTGGGGGTGGAAACTTAAAAAAACATTATAAATCAAAATCGAAAAACAATATCAACTTGAAATTTTTAGGAAAAATCAATTTTAAGAAAAAATCAAGCTCTATAAGGGGACGAAGCATATTGATTTTGAAACAATCTGGTTAAAAGTGTTCAAAAAAAATCATAAATCAGAAACAAAAAACAACTTGATATTTTTAAGAAAAATCAAACTATATAAGTAAACAAAGTCTGTTGATTATGAAAAAATCTAAAAAACAATGAGGGTTTAAGGGGGGTTAAAATATAAAAAATCATAAGTTAAAACAGAAACATGATAACAACATGAAGTTTTTAAGAAAAATCAAGCTCTATAAGAAGACAAAGGCTATTGATTAAAAAAAAAAAACGAATAAAAATTAGGGATTTAAGGGGAAGGGGGGTGAAATTTAAAAAAAAAATCATAAATCAAAATTGAAAAACAATAACAACTTGAAATTTTTAAGAAAAATCAAAGTTTATAAGTTGGCGATGGCTAATGATTAAGAAATAAATTTTGATAAAAAATGGGTGGTTTATGAGGGGTTGAAACTAAAAATCATAAATCAAAAACGAAGCATGATATCAACATGAAATTTTCAGAAAAATCAAGCTCTATAAGGGGACAAAGACTATTAATTAAAAAAAATACAATTAAAAATGTGTGAATTAAGGAAAGGGGAGGGGTTGAAACCTAAAAATAAATCATATCAAAATTGAAAAACAATATTAACTTGAACGTTTTAAAAAAAATTAAACTCTATAAGTGGACAAAGCCTATTGAAAAAAGTGTGGGATTTAAGGGGGGGTTAAAAAAATCATAAATCAAAAACGAAACATGATATCGAAATGAAATTTTTAGGAAAATCAAGCTCTATAAGGGGACAAAGACCATTGATTAAAAAAAATCCGATTTAAAATGGGGGGTTCAGGGGGGAAACTTAAAAAAATAAAAAAGAAAAAAAAATATCAACCTAACATTTTTAATAAAAATCAAGATTTATAAGAGCACAAAGCCTATCGATTATAAAAAAATCTAATAAAAAATGGGGGGTTGAAGGGAAGTTAAAAAAAATCATAAGTCAAAAACGAAACATGATATCATCATGAAATTGCTCTGTAAGGGGACAAAGATTATTGATTTAAAAGAAATCTGATTGCAAATAGGAGGAGTAAGGGGGATTGATTAGGAAAAGAAAAAATCAAATTATTATTATTATTATATAATGTCATCGGCTTCAACTACTAATTGTTATATCGCCTCGTTTCTGTGCAGGCTTTGTTATTGTTTCCCAGCGCCACTTTAGGAACAGCACTGTTAATTAGAACCCGACAATGAGTGGTCGAGTAGGAAATCCTACCAAGACATCAGAATTAATTTTAAATAAATTAATTAAATAAAAAAATCCCGGCCAACGGTGGAATTCGAACCTGGAACCATTATGTCTACAGGCAGGGACTCTACCACTGAATGGTATTTATATCCCTATGACATTTAACGAATTGATTATAAAGGGCCAAATCCAACTTATTATTATGCGTCAGGCAAATTCTTGATTTAAAAGGAACTAGACTCTTTGCATTCCTTGTATTGTAGCTATGATAATTATTATTCGAATCCAATGAATTACGTTTTTTAAAAATTTCTTTTAATGATTCCAGTATATACAGACAAGGCAATGGAAGAATCACGTACCTTTTAAATAGCATGTCGAGTTCTGCACCGTCAATGATCCTCAAGGCAGCTTTTTGGAGAATAAAAGCCTTCTGAGAGTGATAACTGCCGCCCCAGAACATGACACCATAATTCAGATGGCTATGTATGATTGCATAATAGACTGTTCTTAGTACTGATTTTTCTGAAAAACTCGATATTTGCCTGAGTGCAAAAATTTGGGACGCCAATTTCGAACAGACATTGTCTACATGGTGCGACCAATTTAAACCGGCATCGAGCATTACTCCTAGCAGGTTTACTGACCCAGCTACTTTGACTTTACTAGATGAAAAAGTAACGTTTTGAGTTTTGACATTATTTAACTTTAAATCGTTTGCAGCAAACCATTCATTAGAGGACGGTAAACAAGTTCTGCTCGAGATCGTGTCATCTTTGGATAGGATAGTCGTATCATCTGCGAACATAACACTAGTACAGTGTTTCATGATACGCGGTAAGTCATTAATATATATTAGAAATAGAACAGGGCCCAATACAAATCCCTGTGGAACCCCTCTTAAAATGGGAGCCAATTGTGACTCCACATTATCGAGAAACACGCACTGTAATCTGTTCGTCAGATATGAAAAAAATAAGGCAAGTTCCTTTCCCCTTATGTCATAGTACTTCATTTTTTCCAAAATAATATCAATGCTTACACAGTCGAAGGCCTTAGTGAGGTCATATAATACCGCAGTAGTACTCGAGCCCTCGTCAAAGCCACCGACTATGTAATCAATTACTTTTGCGACTGCTCCTATTGTAGATATATGCCTTCTAAACCCAAATTGGGCTGGCGAGAATAAATTTTTATTTTCAAAATAGTTAACTAATTTCTCTTTTAGCTTTACTTCAAATATCTTACCGATAACAGGTGTAATGGCAATTGGCCTATAATTATCAGCATCATTAGAATCACCTTTTTTAAAATGTGGCAATACCTTACTAATTTTAAGTTGGTTAGGCCAATTTCCTTCGATTATGCATTGGTTATATAAAATATTAAGTGGTTTAATGAGGGATTCTATAGAGGCCTTAATCATGGGACTACTGAGGCCATAGTAATCCGTGCATGGCGTATTTTTAATATAAAGTATAGCCTCTCTTACGTCAGATTCAGAGACTGGACCCATAAAAAACGAATACGGGGGCTTCGGTGTCATTTTAATAAAATCATTAGAGGAAATATTATTATCGTTTTCGATTGTTTGAATAACCTTCTCTGCTACATTGAAGTCTTCAGATGTTAGATTCGATGTACTGGATGATTTGTTGTTGGATTTTCTTTCTGCGTTTACAATATTCCAGATTGTTTTATTTTTATTTTCTGATGCAGCTATTCTTTTATTGTAAGCGTTACGTTTCTCTAATCTAATTGACCTCCTATAGTTTTTGCGCGATTCAGAATATAGTCTTCAATCTTCTAACGAATTGGTTTTTTTGAATCTAGATTTGTTTTGAAATACTTGATTTCGCTGTACCCGCAGTTCCTCATTAAACCACAAAATCTTTTTGTCACCACTGCGAATTTTTTTTATGGAAAAGCATAGATCTACAATAGGACATAGAATAGTAAATATTATATTACAAATCTCCTGGGAGCAGTAATTTCCCATTTCTAGTCCATGCCAACTAATTTCAGATAACTTTTCTGCGAACTGTAAAATTGTACGTTCATTAATAAATCTTTTGTTGACATAACTGGTATCACTTAAAATATTAAAGTCTTTTATCTCCAAAAATAAAGTCAAATGGTCGGCTATGTCGGCATCAATGACTTTGATATTATAACTTCCGGATTTATATTGGAAATAATATTGTCCAAACATGATTTAGAAGTGGGAGTTATTCTAGTTGGAACTGTGATGTAATGTTTCATACCATACATATTTAATATAATAATTAAATCAAGCGAATGCTAATTTAAACTATTAGAATCAACATTAAAATCACCGATAAAAATTAGGTTTTTAAATTTTTTATATAAATAATTAAATTTAGAAAATACGTTTTGAATATTGATATGTCCCCATGGGAGGAGGATCTGTACACTGTTACTAAGGCATAATTTTTATTTATCAATTCTACACCACAGAATTCTGCATGAAAAGGCTGGCAAAATTTTGAAACGTCAATAACTTTTAATGAAATATTATTCTTAGAAAAAAACAATAATAATAATA